GATACGCGAACGGGAAGAGTTGCAATTGGAGCGCAACGATTCTATTAACGATCCCAATTGTTTTACCTTTTACCTACAATTGACACAATTAATATTTACCGCAATGTTATATGAATTTATAATAAATTTTCATTTACTAGCGAAATTTATCAACATTCACTAATACAATTACCACGAATTAAAATTATTTTTATTATATTTACATATTTCATGTGCTCAATTTATTATTTCGTAATTGTATTTAGATTTTTATCACTGGAAAAAATTTATTTTATTCAAACAACCGATTAATTGGCTATTATCAATATTTACTTGAATCAAATTCAAATAATTTTTATTTAAATCAATTAAATCGTGTTTCTGCAAAGAATTTTACTATTTATAAAAATAATTGAATTATTGCGAAGAATTTTACTATTTATAAAAGTAATTGAAATATTTCGAAGAATTTATTAAAACTTTAAGAAATAATTGAATTGTTATGAAGAATTTTATAGAAATATTTGAAAATAATGAAATTTTTTCGAGAAATTCAATTAAAGTTGTTTCGAAAATAATTGAATTTCTTTAAAGAATTTTATTATAAAATTAATTGAGGGGCTGGATGCTATAATGTGTTACGCGCCATGTTAAGTGAATGGCGTGTAACACATTATAGCATCCGGCCCCTCAATTATATTCAAAATAATTGAATTCATCACAAGAATTTTATTATTTTTTGAAAATAATTGAATATCTTCAATTTTTTTGACGAATATATTTAAAAATTGCATTGGAAGTAATTTAATTTTTCTATAGAATTTTTTAAAAATATTTTGAGAATAATTGAATTATTTTCAGAGAATTTTAAATTTTTGTTGAAATTGAATTTTATGGAAATTTTTAAAAATAATTAAATTTTTTCATGTAATTTTATTTAAATTTGATTTAAAATAATTTAATTCCTGTAAAGAATTTTTGAATTGATAAAAATAGTTGAATTGTTTCGAAGAATTTATTAAAATTTTAGGAAATAATTGAAATTTATGGAAATGTTTTTAAATATTTGAATTCATCCGAGGAATTTAATTAAAATTGTTTTGAAAATAATTGAATTCCCGAAAAGAATTTTATTATTTATAAAATTAATTGAATTCTTGAGAAGAATTGTTTTCATAAATAATAAACTTCTGCGAAGGAATTCGATTATTACTCTCAAATTTTTTGACAAAATTCTTCTCAATAATTCAATGATTTTTAATACAACAATTTTAAAATTGAAAATAGTTAAAAAGAAAAATGATTTAAAAAGTTCGGAAACAAAAAAGTAAATAACAACTAACTTCAAATTGCGAACAGATTACCGGAATACAGCAATTATTAATATGAAGAAGAGATATTATTATAATTATTATTATTATAAATTTATAAATAAAATATTTAATTTCTTAGAAGGAAAAATGGAGAATTCAATTAGGTTTATAAGTTTGTTCAGTAAAATACAATACACACAGGTGGAAAAAGCCAAGAAGGCAATATTGTTTGTTCTTCTCGAGTTTTTCCTTTCTCTCTCCTTTTTTTCCCTTTTTTTCTCAATTTCTTTTTTTTCTTAGTCCCTTCCTTTCATTTTACCTTTTTATCCTTTTTCCTTTCTTTATTTTTCTTTTCTCCTTTTTGATCCCTTTTTTTGCTTTTGTTCGATGCAATTTTTCGAAATCTATTCGAGAAATAAATAAAATCTATTGCAATGGAAGCACTCGCGTTATTCGTGTATATATATATATAAAAGTAATCGTCTCGGTGTAGGTTAGAGCGACTATATCTGGGTCATTAGGTCAAAGCAAAAGCAACTGGATAACCGAATCCTCTCACAGGGAGACATTTTAAAAAAAAATAAAACAACAACAACAAATAAAAGTAAATTATTCCAAGATTCTCTCTAGTATTATTTATATAATTATTTCTTATGACACTATTAATAAGGATTTTATTTATAATTGAAATTTTTAATCTGAAAAATAAAAATATGGGTCAAAATAAATTTCCTCTTTTTTTATACGCTTTCTGCATTAACCTTGACATCTTTTTACTTTATCAAGTTTTATACTATATTTGTACATATATACGATTGGTGCACGTGCAAAATGAAAATTGTATTGGGCAGAATTAGAGAATAGTGGGTGAAAAGAAAAGATAAAAAGAAAAAGAATGAAGAAAGAAAGAAAAATTTGTAATTTAACAAGTCTTGCAATAACCGCCAAAGATAATAATTATCGACACTGTCCAAAAAAAAATTATTTCATTACTAAAACCGATTATTACTCGTCTATTACAAAACAAATATTTTCTTGAATAAAATAATTTTTCTTTAAATCAAATAAATTATATTTGTAACAATAATTTTCCTATTTAAAGCAAATAAATTGTATTTGTAACAATAATTTATCTTTTTAAACCAAATAAATTTTATTTGCCTAAAAATTTTATTTGCTTTAAAAATTATTTGATTCAAGTAAATATATTTAATTGATAACAGACAAGTAATCGGTTGTTTGAATTAAATAAATTTTTTTTCTCTTTGTAATTATTTATTTTATTAATAAACTAGCATAATTATTACCATTGTATTGTTAGTTACAAAAAATTTTCATTTTTAAATAGAATAAAATTTTATTATTTTTTAAAAAATACAATTTTTCGAAATATAATTCTTCAAAAATACGATTATATTTCGAAACAATTTTTAAGAGTAATAAAATTAAATTCTTTCAAATATAACATTTTATTTCAATAAAATTTGAAAAAACTTTAAATTGTTTCAATTTTTAAAATTATTTTCGGGAATTTAATTATCTTGAAAAAAATTTTAATTACAATTTTTCAAGACTTTTTTTCATAATCTCTACGTTAATTTATTCACAACATGAATAATAATTTTTGAAGGAAAATAATATGTTGATATTTTTTTCAAATAAATATTTAAAATTTAATTATTATTATAGTTTGACGGGAGATTAAAATATTAAAAAGATTTCAATTTAAAAACTTTTAAAAATTTAATTATAATTAAAATTCTTTAAAATTCCTGTTATAATGCTTCTAATATTCAATTATTTTTTCAAAATTTTGAGTGAAATTGTTTTTTGAATCAACAATTTTTAAATATCAAAATAAGAATTCAAGGATAATTGAATTCTTTAAATATAAATTTTTTTTGCAAAATTGAATTATTTTTCAAACTTTTAGATACAATTCTTCAAAAAATACAATAATATTTTAAAATAATTTTTTAAAGTAAAAAAATATAATTCTTTGAAATATAAAATTTATTTTAATAAAATTCAAGAAAATTACCTATTATTTCAATTTTTAATAATTATTTTTGGAAATTCAACTATTTTTAAAAAATTTTAATTACGTTTTTTTCAAAAACATCATTTTTTCAGAGTTTCTAAATAAAATTTAAAAATCAAACTTTATTAATTTTTTGTTCAATAAATATTTAAATACTTATTGTGATTTATTTCTTCACCAGGAATTGAAATTTCAAGTAATTTCAATGTAAAACCTTTTGAAATTCAATTATTTCTAAAAATTGCACATACAATTTTTCTAAAAATCAATTATTTTTTATAATTTTCGAATAAAATGAATTATTTTTTAAATGTTTGACTGAAATTATTTTTTTAAATCAATTCTTATAAGAATTCGACGATAATTGAATTATTTAAGAAAAAAAATTTTTGTTTCAATTATTTTCCAAATTTTTAGATATATCCTACTTGATATTATTCTTCAAAAAATAAAATAATATTTAAAAATAATTTTTTAAACTGAGAAAATAAAATTCTTCAAAATATAAAGTTTATTTTAAAGAAATTCTAGAATGTTTTCTATTGTTTCAATTTTTTAAAATTCTTTTCGGGAATTCAACTATTATAAATATACAATTTATTTGTCCAGCAGAATTTAAAATTTCAAAATACTTTCACATTATAAAATCTTTTGAAATTTAATTAATTCTAAAAATTAGAAGTGTAATTCTTCCAATAATTCTTGAAATATTTTCTAAAATTTGAACTGAAATTAGTTTTCAAATAAATTTGAATTAGAGGGCAATTGTTTAAAAAATGAAAAAACACAAGAAAAGTAAAAAATAAAGGAAATATTTTGAAAAACGTTTCTCCCGCATTTATTTTAATGTCATAGAAAACGGAAAATCATAAAATAATAAAACCAGGTACAGAAATCGTGAAAATTGGTTCTTTTCCAGAATTCTATACAGAGCCTTACTAGAAACTGTTTTGGTCCCTACTAAAGCCCTATTTCAACTATAGGGCAATAGTAGAAAAATTTCTACACCATTTTTTTAATTTTAGATACAAAAGAAATGTGTGTATAAATTTTTAATAAATTATCATTGTCTAATTATTTAGCAACAATTTATTTATTGTTATTAATTTAACAAATTTAACTAATTATTTAACAAAACTTATAAAAATTTAGGTATAATTAGCTATTAATTATAATTATTTATAAATTATTTTTATAATTATAAATATTTTTTTATAGTATTTATAATTATTAAATAATTATAAATAATTATTTTTATAATTATAATTATTTTTTTTATCATTCAAATTGTTAAAAACTATTTACTACTCTATAAAGCGAATAGTTGCGCTATCTGTTAGGAAGCAACGAAAATATCTCCGATTTATCAACAGAGAAATTCTCAACTTCTTTACCAGTTACTTAATACCATGAGCGAATAAAAACGATGAATTGTAGGTAAGAACGACAACTAGTAATTCTTCCTTTTTTCTTTTTTTTTCAATTGTAGTAAAACTATATATAATTCCAATGAATAATAACATGCATGTTGTTTAAATGATGAAAGAAGAATAAATTTTTTCCTCAACCATGAAATTTTTTTTTCTCTCTCTCTCTCTCTCTTCTTTTTCTTAGCAATAATCTACATTTACTAATGAGTCTGGACTAATGTTGCGCAAAAATATTTACTTGAGACAATTCAGTTTCTATCAATCTCTAGAACAGACTTAATTGATAATTTTTCTCTGCGCAGTAAAAAATAAAAGAATAAACTGATTTTTTTTTTGCAAATTAAAATTATGATTTTTTATATATTAATTATTATTGCAATAGTTTTAGGAATTTATCATGTTTCAATTCATTACAGTCGTCATGGACGACTTTTAAATAAATTACCAGGGCCACCAATTTTTCCGATAATAGGAACTTTAGAAATTTTAGGACTTTCCGCAAGTAAGTAATAAAAATTATTACATAATAAATAATAAAAAATAATAAAAAAATAATGAAAAAATAATAAATAATAAAAAATAATAAAAAAATAATAAATAAAATTAAATAAAATAAAACAATAAATATCTAAAAATTATTAAAGATCAATCTTTTACGTCCGAGCAGTTTATTGTAAGGTAAAAAAAAACAAATTCATTCGGACCAAATGTTATTATATATATTTCTCCAACGTTTCGAAATCTCAACGATTTCCTCTTCAAGGAGTCTATCAAACAATAATATAAGAAATGTGATAAACGAATTTACAAATTAATACAATATTATGAATCATAATAAATACAAAATAAATACAAAATAATGAGAGTTTGAATTTTCTTACAGAAATAAAACAGTGATATTATTTACATCATCTTTTTCAAATCGTCATAAAAATAAAAATAAAATTTGTCAATTTTTTCGTAAAACCCAAAAACAAAAAAAATTATTATTATTTTTATTATTATTATTATTATTATTATTATTATTATTATTATTATTATTAATTATTATTATTATTATTAAAAATTATTAATTATTAAAATTTAAAAAAAAATTTTATTATTAACATTAATAAATATTAATTATCAAATAATTTTTTTATTTGAGTCAATTAAATTTTCTTTTTGCTTCAAATAATGAAATTATTGATTCAAGTACCACACGCAAAAAAAAACTTTACCTCTAGGTAAAGCTTTTTTTTCCGGACCAACGATAAGTTTCTCTAAAATAGCGAAACTTTTAACTGAAATAACGAAAAATTTCGCTAATACAGTTAAATTTATATCTGTTCCAAGTAAATTTTTTTTTTTCGTGCATTTAATTGATTTAAATAAAAATTATTTAATTCAAGAAAATATTTATTTGATAAGATAAAGAAATATTTATTTAATAATCGATTATTTTGAATGAAATAAATTTTTTTTCCATTGTACAATAAATTTTATAGAATTCGGAGGAAAAATTAATTGCATATTGTTTTACTGTTTATTTATTTAATAATTCAAAATTTGTATTATTTTTATATAGCTGAAATTTGGAACAAAGCAAGATACCTTGGAAAGACCTATTATCCATTAAATAAACTTTGGTTGGCTCATTATTGTTCAGTTAATATTTTTAATCCATATGATGCAGAGGTAATGTATTTTTTTATAATATGTATATGCTACAATTTTTTTAAAGTAGTTGTTTTTTATAATTTTTTTTTATTTATCTTTTATTTATTCATTTTTATTTTTCTATATATTTATTTGTATTTCTGTTTTTATTTTTTATTATTTATTTATGTTGGTATTTGCTAGTTTATTACTAAAATATTTAAAATTTTATTAATACCTATTCAAATGAACTAGTTCATATATTTTTTTAAAATTAAATCCAATCAATAAAATTTATGTAAAAAATTCAATTTTTTTTTGCTTGTCAAGATTCTATTATCAAGTATGAAGCACATTGAGAAAAGTCATCTCTATGATTTTTTACATCCTTGGCTAAATAATGGTTTACTAACCAGTACAGGTAATTATTGATTCTGTTCGTTTTTTTCAATATGAATCTTGTTTTTAATTAATTCTAATAATTTAAATGGAAAAATAATGTGATCACGATATTTTTTAATTTATATATACACTGGAGAAAAATTTATTTTATTTAAATAGTCGATTACTTGACTATTAATTAAATATTTACTCGAATCAAATAAATTTTATTTGAATCGATTATTTTTGCTTTAAATACTGAAATTATTGATTTAAATAATATTTAATTGATTTAAATAAAAATTAATTGATTCAAGTAAATATTTATTTGATAAGACAAATAATCGATTATTTGAATCAAATAAACTTTTTTCTCAGTGTATAATATACCTATATATATATATATATATATATATATATATATATATATTTTTGTAATTAATTTTGTAAATTATTTTTGTAAATTAAAAGTTATTTTTAAAAATTTGTATATTTTTACATTTTTACACTTTTAACATTTTTTGTTTCATTTATTTCGAAAACAAAAATTAAATACATACTTTTTTATTTTTAAGGTAAAAAGTGGCAAACTCGTCGGAAAATGTTGACACCAACATTTCACTTTAGTGTTTTGCATCAGTTTGTCGACATTTTCATGGAACAGGGAAATAATCTTGTTGAAAATCTAAAATCTCAGGGCGATGAATCAGAGCAAAATCTTGTGCATTTTTTTACAAAATACACACTAAATACTATTTGTGGTAATTATTATAACACTTCGAGTTTTCCTGTTTTTTTTCAGTAATAATTATTATAATAATTAATAATTAGTTAGAATTTATGCAAATTCTATTTTTAAAAATTGAATTCCTGTAAAATTTTAATTATTTTAGAAGATAATTGAATATTCGTGTAGAATTTTGTCAAAATTGTTTTTAAATAATTGAATTGTTTTAGGAAATTTTATTAAAATAGTTAAGATATACAAATTATTAAATTAAAAACAATTTTTGGAAATAATTGAAATCTTGCTATGAATTTTCTTAAATTTTTTTTAAATAATTGAATTTCATTATACTTTTAAAAATAATTGAATTCTTGTGATAAATATTGTTATTTATGGAAATAATTTAACTTTTGCAATGAATTTTGAAAGAATTCCTGAAAATAATTAAATTTTTGGCGAAGAATTCTGCAATTTATTTATAAAAATAATTGAAATGTTGACATTCTTTTTAAAGATTTTTTGAAAATAATTGAATTTCTGCGAAGGATTTTATTAACTTTTGAAAATAATTGAATTCTTTTGATGAATATTGTTATTTATGAAAATAATTAACTTCCATCGAATGATTTTATTATTTATGAAAATAATTAAATCCCTGAAAGGGATAAAATATTTTATTTTTTCGAAAAAATTTATGCAAATTTTATTTTAAATAATTGAATTCATGTAAAAAGTTTTATTTTTTTGGAAAATAATTGAATGCGTTCGTGTAGAATTTTATTAAAAATTTTTTAAAAATAATTGAATTGTTTTGGGAAATTTTATTAATCTTTTTAAATTCAATAACTTATAAGAATATTTTTTATAAAACATGAAGCCGAGTCGAAGACTCAGAGTGATCGATTTCTTCATGCTTTATAATAATTAAAAATGACCGAGTGATAAAACTATTGTTTTATATTATAAGAATATTATTACAGTAACTTTTTCAAAATTATTTCCATCATTTCAAATTAATTATTATTTTCTACAATTTTTAATTATTTTTTATAAAAATAATTGAAATCCTCAGAAAAAAATTTTTTTTTATAAAAATAAGTAAATTATTGAGAAGAAATTTATAAAATTTGTAAATAATTGAATATCTGAGAAATATTTATTATTTATGAAAATAATTCAATGTTTGCGTACTATTTTTGGGAATTTGAAATTGATTTGAAAATTATTGAACTTTGAGGAAGAATTTTGTTATTTATAAAGAAAATTGGGATTTTTACAAGAATTTTTTTCAAATTTTTGAACGTAGTTGAATTTTATAAAGAAGAATTTTATTGTTCTTGAAAAAAATTGAATTTTTTCAATTATTTGTAATTTCTCCAAAATTGAATTTTTTTAGTTTTTTCAACAAAAATTTTAATTAGAAAATTTTTAAATTCTATTATTTTTAAAATTGCTAATTTTATTTTTAAAAACAGCTAGTAAGAAGTTAGTCGCGCACGTATTTTTGCTAGTTATTAATTTAATTTGTAGTAATTATTACGATTCTCAAATTTTTCTTTGCATTATTTTAGTAATAATTAATATAATAATTAATATTAAGTAGTTATGTTATTAATTATTACTTTCAATTAGTAATTAATATTAATTAGTAGGTACAGTTTTAATTACTTATTAATTAATAATTAAATATTTTAAAAAACAACTTTTAGAAACCGCAATGGGCACATCATTACTTGAAACAAATATCGATAATACCTATCGAAATGCTCTAAAAAATGTTTCAAAACAATTGGTTTACAGGTTAGTCACAAAATTGTTCAGTATCCTCAAATGGGGTAATTATTAACAGCGGGGTAATAAGTTAAATTTTGATTCAGGAAATTTATTATCGACGCTATTTTCTTCCTATTTTATTTCTAAATAAATAATATATTTTTATTTTTAATTCTACATCTGTTTTCATTTATATTTTTATTCTTTAAAAATAAAAAAAAAATCTCGACAAATGGGGCAAATAAGTAACTATTTGTCCCATTGGTCGATATTTTTTTTTATTTTTAAAGAATAAAAATATAAATGATTACAGATTTAAAATTAAAAATAAGAAATATTAATTGTAGAAATAAAATAGAAATAAAATAGAAAGAAACTAGCAGAAGTATAATATAAATTTAATTTTAGGCTTGCTAGGCCCTGGTTATTTCCAACTTATATATTCAAATTATTTCCATCGGGAAGAAGTTTTATGAAGTCTCTATCGGTACTGCACAATTTTTCATACAAGGTTGGCCTTTTTTTAAAAAAAAAAAACGTAATAAATATTAATACAAAAATAAATTTTTACATTCCTGAATTTTTATTTTCAGATTATTAAGGCGAAAAAGGAATATCATGAGAAAACGGAAAATGTACATTTAAAATCGCTTATTAATCCCGATACAGAATTAATTACTCTTGATGATGGACTGAGAAGTAAAAAATTTACAATAATTATTAAAATTAATTATCAATATTTTATCAATTCTTCCACAATTATTTAATAATAAATTATTTTTTCGATTTTTTGGAAGAAGTTTTTTTTTCATTCACCTATAAAAAAACATTTTTCAAAAAATCGAAAAAATAATTTATTAAATAAAAGTAAATGGAAATAAATATTTATTTATTTAAATTAAATTCCAATTAATTAAAGTTTTGAAAAAACTTTGAAATTTGAAAAAATAACTGATTGTAATTAACAGTCGTCAAAATAGGGTTTAAATAAACTTTTTGCGTTTATTTATTTAGGCAAAAAGAAACGAATGGCAATGTTGGATCATTTAATAGCCGCCCAGAGATTTGGTGGGCAAATTAATGACGACGGAATTCGGGAAGAAGTTGATACATTCATTTTTGAGGTGATTCAAATTTTTCTTTATGCGGTTAAAAACTTAATAAATTTTAAAATTAAAATTAATAAATTAAAGAATAAAAAAAAATTCATTCCTTCTGTTTGGATGCCTCTTAGTAAAAAGCCCCACCACCACGACAAGGTGGACATCCTTCGGTGGGGAATAATTATTAATAATGATTAAATAATTATTAATATTTTATTTTTAATAATTATGTAATTATTCATATTCTATTTTTGATATATTTCAGGGACATGACACCACAGCAATGGCAATGTGCTTTTCAGTATTAATGCTCGCCGAACACAAAGATATTCAGGTTTACTTTCTCCTAATTTTAATAAATTCAAAAATTTACATTTCTTTCTGAAAATATTTCCAATTTGTTTTTTGCTCTTTTTATAACATTTGATAATTTCCGATAATTTTTATTTTAATTTTTAAAAAATTTTTATCCTAAAGTTCATAGTGAAAAATTGAAAAATCAGATTGCAAAAAAATTTTTATACGAAAATATTGAAGTTTAGATAAACTTTTGATTTTTACAGTTTGTCTAATTCGATTTTTAAAGTAAATTAATAATTTTGAAATGAAAATTCAAATTTCTATGTTTCTATTTAGTAAATAATTAAAATTGTCATTTTTACGACTAAATTTAAAAATTCAAGGAAACCAACTCTTCTTTACATTTATGTACCTACAGTATTATGTTTATTATGCGTATAATGATATAGAATCGAGCAAGAAAAGAAGTGGACGATGTATTTAATGGAAAAAATGGGCAGATTCACATGACAGAAATACAAGGCTTAAATTATCTTGAACAATGCATTAAGGAAACATTGCGTTTATATCCAAGTGTACCTTTCATATCACGCGAAATAAAGGAGGATTTGCAATTGAGTTAGTTTTTGAAAAATAAATAAATAAAAAACAATACACACATGGGAATTATTTTTTTTTTATTCTTTAAAAACTTGATTCGAATTTTCTTTTTTTTGCAATATAATATTATAATTTGATTAGATTATCAATTATTTTTGTCTTTTTAGCACATCATTTGATTCCGGCAGGAACCAGTGCGCATTTACATATTTACGATATTCACAGAGACGTGAATTTTTGGCCTAATCCGGAAAAATACGATCCCGATAGATTTTTGCCTGAGAAAATGCAAATTCGTCATCCATTCAGTTATATTCCGTTCAGTGGTGGACCACGTAATTGTATAGGTAAAACGAAAATTAAATTTTGACTAATACATTTTTTTTTTAATTTCGATTATTAAAATCGAGAGAAAAAAAGATAATTTAAATTTAAAAAGTAAACAAATTGCTTTAATTATTTTTAACATTAATTTCTGAACTGAAATTTTTTCCATTTTTGGCCTCTATTGAAATTCTAATTTTTAATTAAGAAAGAAAAGAAAATTTATAAGTAGATTCATTAAAAATCATTTAAAATAAAAATTAATTTTTACTTTCATGAAATTATTACTTCCACTTTGACGCTCGCTATCAAAAATTTATTTAAAAAATTTTCAATCGTCACATTTTAAGGAGCAATAATTAAAGGGAGATAAAATAAAAAGATAAAATTAAAGGGCTCCTTAAAATGTGACAATTGAAAATTTTTTAAAATTTTTTTGATAGTTAGCGTCCCCACCCGCCCGTATCAGAAAAACGAAAATTGGAAAATAAATCGAAAAGAAATTCATAACTTAAATAATTTCTGACCAATTTTTTGTTTCTTGGTCGCAAATTAAAGAGGGATTAATGCTTCTTTTTATTGGACCAATAAAAATTTTTTTAAAAAATTTTTGATAGCCAGCGTCCTCACCCGCCCGTATCAGAAAAACGAGAATTGTAAAAAATGTTCAACAAAAATTCATAACTTAAATAATTTCTGACCAATTTTTTGTTTCTTGGTCGCAAATTAAAGAGGGATTAATGCTTCTTTTCATTGGACCAATAAGAATTTTTAAAAAAAAATTTTGATAACCAGCGTTCCCACCCGCCCGTATCAGAAAAACGAAAATTGGAAAATAAATCGAAAAGAAATTCATAACTTAAATAATTTCTGACCAATTTTTTGTTTCTTGGTCGCAAATTAAAGAGGGATTAATGCTTCTTTTTATTGGACCAATAAAAATTTTTTTAAAAAATTTTTGATAGCCAGCGTCCTCACCCGCCCGTATCAGAAAAACGAGAATTGTAAAAAATGTTCAACAAAAATTCATAACTTAAATAATTTCTAACCAATTTTTTGTTTCTTGGTCGCAAATTAAAGAGGGATTAATGCTTCTTTTCATTGGACCAATAAGAATTTTTAAAAAAAAATTTTGATAACCAGCGTTCCCACCCGCCCGTATCAGAAAAACGAAAATTGGAAAATAAATCGAAAAGAAATTCATAACTTAAATAATTTCTGACCAATTTTTTGTTTCTTGGTCGCAAATTAAAGAGGGATTAATGCTTCTTTTCACTGGACCAATAAGAATTTAAAAAAAAATTTTTTTAGCCAGCGTCCCCACGCTTCGAAAAACGAAAATTGGAAAATAAATCGAAAAAAATTCATAACTCGAACAATTTTAGACCAAATTTCTATTTCTTGGTCGCAAATTAAAGAGGGATTAATGCTTCTTTTTATTGGACCAATAAAAATTTTTTTTAAAAATTTTTGATAGCCAGCGTCCTCACCCGCCCGTATCAGAAAAACGAGAATTGTAAAAAATGTTCAACAAAAATTCATAACTTGAATAATTTTTGACCAATTTTTTGTTTCTTGGTCGGAAATTAAAGAGGGATTAATGCTTCTTTTCATTGGACCAATAAGAATTTTTTAAAAAAAATTTTGATAACCAGCGTCCCCACCCGCCCGTATCAGAAAAACGAAAATTGTAAAAAAAGTTAAACAAAAATTTATAACTTGAATAATTTTTGATCAAATTTTTATTTCTTGGTCACAAATTAAAGGGGGATTATTGCTCTTTAAAATGTGACTATTGCAATTTTTTTCTATAAACTGTAATAGCTAGCGTACGTTGTTTTTGCGTTGATTGAACCGTATATGGCCACCGCGCTACTATGTGTGTCGACGCCTATAGATTCTTCTGATGGCTGGCGGCCGGCGGGTCGCTAGTTTCACCGTGTTAATATCAAAGTTTAAGTCAAAAAGTCAATATTCAATTAAAAAGTCAAAATTCATTTAAATGTCAAAATTAAAATCAAGATCAAAATCGAATCAAATTTTAAAATTAAAGTCAAATTCAAAGACAAAATCAAAGTTTAAATCAAAAAGTCAATGTCAAAATCAAAATTAAATTAAATATCAAAATTAAAATCAAAGTCAAAATCGAATCGAATTTTAAAATTAAAGTCAAATTCAAAGTCAAAGTCAAAGTTTAAATCAAAAAGTCAGTGTCAAAATCGAAGTCAAAATCGAATCGAATTTTAAAATTAAAGTCAAATTGAAAGTCAAAATCAATGTCAAAATCAAATCCAAAGTTAAAATGAAAGTAAAATTCAAAGACAATATCAAAGTCAAAAAGTCTATGTCAAAGTCAAAATTGAAATTAAAAGTTAAAGTCAAAATCGTAATTAAAGTTATTATCAAAAAGTCAATTTCATAGTCAAAATTGAATTAAATGTCAAAATTAAAGGAAAAATCAAAGCCAAAATCGAATTTAAAGTCAAAATTATAGTCAAATTCGAAGTCAAAATGAAAGTTACAGTCAAAAAGTCAATTTCAATGTCAAAATCAAATTGAATGTTAAAGTTAAAATCAAAATCGAATAGAAATTTAATGTTATAGTCAGAGTCAAAATTAATGTCAAAATCAAAGTCAAAATTGAATCGAAAGTCAAAATTAAAGTCAAATTCAAAGTCAGAATCAAAGTTAAAGTCAAAAAGTCAATGTCAAAGTCAAAATCTAATTGGAAGTTAAGGTTAAAATCGAAATCAAATAGAAATTTAATGTTATAAAAGTTATAATGATAGTCAAATTTAAAGATAAAATCAAAGTCAAAAAGTCTATGTCAAAGTCAAAATCAAAGCTAAAGTCTTTTCTTTTACTTTAGCTTTTGACTTTGGGAAGTCAATGTCAAAGTCAAATTGAAACGAAAGTCAAAGTAAAAATGAAACTTAAAATCGAATAGAAAGTCAAAGTCAAAATCAAATGAAAGGTCAAAGCTATAGTCAAAATTGAATCGAAATTTAATGTTAAATGTTAAATGTTTAATAAACAATGTTAATGTTAATGTTTGTTTTTAAATGTTTAAATTTTTAATGCTAAATATTTATTATTTAATGTTAAAGTCAAATTCAATATCAAAGTCAAAGTTAAAGTGAAAAAGTTATTGTCAAAGTCAAAATCGTATTGATAGTGATAGTTATAGTCAAATTCAAAGTAATAATCATATCAAAAGTCAAATTTAAAGCTAAAAATCAAAGTCAAATCGAATTCAAAGTTAAAGTAAAAAATTCAATGTCAAAATCAAATTCGAAAGTCAAAGTTAAAGTCAAATTACAAAATTGCTCTCCAGGAATCTAATGATTTAATCTAATGATTTTGTTGGACCAAAAAATTAAAATAAAATAAAGAAATTAAAATTAAAATACATAGAAAATAGAAAAAAAATTATAAAACCTGTTTTTTTATATTTCAGGTCAAAAGTTTGCCATGTTGGAATTAAAAGCTCTCATGGCCCACTTGCTCCACAATTTCACCTTCGAACCAATTGATAATTCGAGGGATATCATTTTTACCGCAGATTTAGTTATAAGAGCCGCAACACCAATTCGCGTTAAATTTATAACTAGAAAATAAAATTATAGTTAAATATGATTTTTTTTATCTGCTACAGAAATTATATTTTCATCTATTCTCTATAAAAAGTAGATATGATGAATCTAGTTAATAAACAGAAAAATAATATTTGTTTCATGAAAAGAAAAAGATTACCTTTTTTTTCATATAAATCAAATATTATTTTTTTGCGGTTTTTCTCATCTTTCTTCTTTTAAAGTGTGGAGAATTTTTTCTTCGTCTTAAACTTACAAAGTTTATTCTTGTAGAAACAATATTGATATAATTCTCATGGCGATGATGTCAATAATTAAAATTGTCAACTATATACGCTTATCATTTTTCTTGTTTATAAATAAAATTTACTCTCGAGATTAAAACATTGTTATCGCGAATAAATATATGTTTAAATTTATAAAATATTTTATAATTTTTCTTTTGCATTATAATCTTCGTAATTGTAAAATGTAAATGTTTAAACAAAAAAGTTGTGTGTATACAAAAATATTGAGTGATGAATGTTTTATTGCAAATTCTAAATTGTAATTAAATTTAATAATTATTATCCGCACGTTATTTGATTTGTTTACTATTTGGCGAAGAAATAAATTTTTATGGAAAAAATGAAGAAAAAATTAAAGAAATATATAATTTTTTATTTGCATTTAAAATAAAATGGTTGGATTCTCATAATACGGCCCTGGTCAATTACAGTTTGCACAAAGTTCTTCAGCGTTGCATTTGACGTCTACACAGTAACACTTTGTATCACTCAAAGGATAAGTTGTGTTCATTCTTTTATAAAAACGTTCCATTCAAAAAACTGATGAAATTGTGATTATTTTTTGGAATATTGCAAAATTTTCATCATGTTTTTTTTATTGTTTATTTTAATATTGGGCCTGGCCTTTTATCATTTTTACACTCATTACGGTAGATGTGGGAGAATGGTTAATAAATTACAAGGACCACGGACTCTTCCTCTTTTAGGAAATTCGCTTCTTTTTCAAGGTTCATCCGGTGAGTGGGTTATGAAATTTCTAATAAAAATCGCATTTTAATATTATAATTTTCCAGTTCATAAATAAATAAACAAATAAATAAATGTATAAATAAATGAATAAATAAATAAACAAATAAATAAGTAAATAATTTAAAAAATAAATAATAATATTAATAATTAATTTTTAAAATAATATTAATTAATAAGATCTCTGAAATTAACGTCATTGCTAAGTGTTGAAAAATATTTTTCTCCCATGAAACAAAATAGGAAATCGAATAAATTTTTCAAAGATTTTAAATTAAACAAGTATCACTTTGAAAATACTTTAACTCCCTAGGGAAATATAATAAATTAAATTAGTAACTAAAGATCCCAAAATAATAATTTTTGACGCTGAGCATCGACGATAACTTCAGGGACATTTAATATCAATACAGTAAAACCTGTCGGAATGAAACACAATTTTTTTAATTAACTACAATAAATAATTTTTAAAAAGTAATTGTATTTTTCAATTCTATAATATTTTTTTTAGTAATTTGCTACCAAGTGATAATAATTCTTGTTATGCCAATATAAAAAATTTTTTAAATCTAATTGCATTTCAACAAGTTTTTTTGTACTAATATTTAATATTATGTAATAATTAATAATATTTAGTGATATTCTATTTATAATTAGTTATTTACTAATTAATTTAATTAGCATTATATGCATACTGCAAAATTTTTTATTCTCAAATAAAAATAAATAATAAATAAATTGTAATATTATAAATAAATAATAATAACAACAATTTTTGAATAATTTACGATTCAAAATTTTCGAAAATTCACTTACTAATAAATAATTAACTAATTAATTATTATTGTACATTATTTTGTGAAAATTTTAATAAATTCTTTAAAACATTTCAGTTATTTTCTAAAATTGTAATAAAATTTTAGCGTAAGAATTCAATTACTTTTAATATTTCAATTCAATTTTAATAAAACTTGTCGAAAAAATTTAATGAGAAAAATTTTATTAAAACAAAATTTGTCAAACAATTTAATTATTTTCGTAAAAAATTTGATGATTCTCTTGAAAAGAATTCAATTACTTTAATACGATTTTAATAAAATAAATAAAAATAAATAATAATTTAATAAAAAAATTCAATTATTTTCTAATGTAATTTGAAGTAAATTTTTTGAAAGAATTGAATTATTTTTAAAAATTTCATAATATTCTTTAAAAGAATTCAATTATTTTCCAAAAAAATTTCATATAATCTCCTTCAAAAGAATTCCATTATTTTTAATTCTCGAGAATTTTAATAAAAATAAAATCTTTTTTAAATCAATTCTTATTAGAATTCAACGATAAATGAATTATTTAAGTACAAAATTTTTTGTCAAATTGAATTACTTTACAAATTTTTGGTCACAATTCTTCAAAAAAAATACAATAATTATTGAAAATAATTTTTTAAAGTGATTTTTTGTATTCCCTGCACGAAATCAAGAATTAAATTATTTCAGATTAAAAATTATAAAAGTTACAAAAATTATAAAATATGCAATTCACAATAATAAATAAAACAATAATATTTAATATTATTTGTTAATAAAATTAATTAATTCATATTTAACATTAATACACTACTTTCTTTGAACTGATAACAAATATGCTGTTTACTTTTTTTTTACTAATTATAATCGTCGGTAATCGTTTGGAGCATCAAATACAAAAAAGAGAGATTATTCATTATCTCTCTTTCTTTTGACTATACTTTTAACAGAAAACATATTTCTATTCTTAATTTTTCGAATATATTTTCATAAATTAATTATAGTGAAAATTAAAATTCAATTAAGTTAAAATTTTTAAAATATTTAATATAAATTGATTCTATATTAATTTTAATACATTAAATTTTAATAAAAAACAAATTAGTTTTTATAATAAAAAAATTAATTAATCTTGAAAAAAAGTTTTAGAAGAAAAAGAGAAAATTATAGAAAGAAAATAAATATAGAGTGGAATAAAAATTATTTTCCAGAGAGTATTAAACACAGTTTGCTTCAAGTTTAAAAATATTACATAATTCTTCTACATTGTAGCATGTATTTTTATAAAGAAAATTATTACGACAAACCTGTGATTAATATCTAATTTGCAATCATAAAATAGAATGTCAACGCAGTATTAATTCAAAAATAAGAATTTTTCGAATATTATAATTAACTCCTAATGGAGTCTATTTTAATTTCAATTGATTTCAATTAGACTCTCCTACCTGACTATTATTAATTTTTTTAGAATATTAATTCTAAAATAATATTCAATAAATAATAACATTTAATGACAAATAGAAATTTATTTGTAAATTTTTGTTTAACAAAATTAGTAATAACAAAAAATTAATATAAAATATATTAATAATAATAATTAGTAATAATAATAACATAAATAATAATTATAAAAATTAATAAGAAAAATCTACTTTAAAAAAATAAGTAAAGAATTTGTCAATAAGAGAATAAATAAAAATAACAAAAATAAATGCACTTTGATTAATATACCATATTATTATAATATCAAATAATAAAATTTCATATTGAATAATATTTATGAATTTAATAAATCGTTTAAGAAATTATTAAATTTCTTTTTCCAGTTGATGTATGGAATTTAATAAGAAAACTCAACAAAGAATACTATCCATTGTGGAGAGTTTGGCTGGCTCATAATCCAGTTGTGAATCTGTACCATCCCGATGATGCTGAGGTGATTTTTAAAGAATAAATAGTTATTTACTAATAAATCATAAATACAAATTATTTTTATTTTGTAAAATTATTAATAATATTATTTTTTTTATAAAATTTTATTTATATACTCTATTGATGATACTAAAACTACTGAATCCAAACTAACGGAAAAACAAACAAATATAGAATTTCAAGTGTTAAAATTATATTTTGGAAAAACTTTTAAGCCCTTTGCCTATATTGTTCTTGGTTAAATTTCTGTTTTACTTTTTTTTATCAAATTAAACAGGTTCTCTTATCGAGTATGAAGCACATTGAAAAAAGTAAAGACTACGATTTTTTACATCCATGGTTAAAGACTGGTTTACTGACAAGTACAGGTAGGAAAGAAAAAAGTTTTTCATTTTCCATATAGAAAAAAAAGTTATAATTTTTATTTTTGTTTTAAAAATTTATAAATAAATTAGGTACAAATAAATATAATGTAAATGTAAATCGGTAAATATTTAAATAATAAATACAATAAATAATGGTAAATAAAAATATTTATTTATTTTACATGCTTATAATGCTTTAGGTGCATACAAAGAAAGATAAAAAAATAAATACCTCTATACAATTATAAATAAATGAAATTTACATTTTAATAAATTTTAAAAATTACGATTTTTATTTTAATTAAATTAATAGAATAATAAAATATAACAGAATTTAAAATAAACTATTTAAAATTATTTATTTATAAATTAATGAATCATTATACTTTATTTATTGCATGCTATATGATTGATCCTGTTTGATTTATTTATTATTTATTTGAAGTAAAAGAATAATGATTCGTTTATTTTTAATAAAAATATAATAATAATAATAATAATAATAATAATAAAAAAGTATAATAATATAATAATAATAATGATAATAATAATAATATAATAATAATAATTGCAGGAAAAAAATGGCAACATCGTCGAAAAATGTTAACGCCCGCTTTTCACTTTAGTGTTCTCAAGGAATTTCTCGATATTTTTGACGAACATTCAAAAATTCTGGTGGAAAATTTAAAAACAGAGGGAGATGAGAGTGTACAGGATATTGTACCAATTTTTACAAAGTACACTCTAAATACCATTTGTGGTGAAAAAAATATTTTTATTTATATATTTTAATTTTCTTTATTTTTAATAAACGTATTTTCTTTTTAGTTTAGATGTAATTTTTGTTTAAAGTAAATCCATGATCTTTTCTTTTTCATGAAATTATGAATCATACACATTTTTTCACACTAAATATTACTGATAAGAAAAAGAAAATTGTTCAATTAAAAATTTTTTTCTCGCCTTTGCAAATTGCTTATTATTTTTTTTTTCTTTTTTACATTAAAAATAATTAGTTGATAACAATAAATAATGAAAAATTTCAAAAATAATAATTTTTTTGCATTAAAAATAATTAGTTGAAAACAATAAATAAAGAAAAATTTCAAAAATAATTATTTTTTTACAATAAAAATTATTTATGGAAAATAAAAATAAACATTAATTACAGAAACTGCAATGGGTACTTCGTTACATGATACAGACAGTCAAGATGATACGTATAGAAATGCCCTAAAGCATCTTGTGGAAATTTTATATTACAGGTGAATTTTGAAAAAAAAAATTAAATTAAGATAAATTTTTTTTTTCTAATTTTACTAAAAAGAAAATATTTTTATTTAGAGCATTTAGACCGTGGTTAGCGACAGATTGGATTTTTAATTTATTTTCAAAAGGAGAAATATTTAATCAATATTTAATGACTCTTCACAAATTTTCAACAAAGGTGAGATTTTTTCCCCTTTATTTAAATTATACTTTTTTTTCAATTTTAATTACAAAAAATTTTTAAATTATTTAAGAATAATTTTTTCTTTATAAAAGTTTATAATTTTTTTTGGGAAATTTCAAAGTCTATGGAAATTTTTCGTAAATAAAATTACGAAAAAAACTAATTTAAATTAAAAGAATACTGAATGGAAAAAATTGTTAGAAACTAAGAAAGTATTTCTTTTGTAAATTATAAAAGAATCATTATTTGCTTATAGATTATCAACGAAAGAAAGGAGTTTCATGAACAAACGGACAATCAACATTTGAAATCAATTATTTCAGCAGAGAGTGAAACCAGTGTATACGATGATGGAATTAAAAGTACCTAATATTTTTTTTATTGCAAAAAAGTAGCTATTTTTTTTACAAATAAATATGAATATTTATTAATTAAATTCATTAGTTAATAATTAATATAATTTATTAATAAATAATTATTAATTAATTAAATAATAATTAATTTAATTAATTCATTAATAAATAATTTAATTTATTAATGAATCATTAGTAATTAATCATTAATTTAATTAATCAATTAATAATTATTAATTTAATAAATTTTTTTCAAGAAACAATAAATTTGTTAAATTCAATATTAATTTACTAACATTATTTACTTCTCATGTGATGGGACTGTGAAAAAGAAGAGATGAAAATAATTTTTATTAATGCAGGCAGGAAAAAAAGAATGGCAATGTTAGATCATTTAATTGCTGCCCAAAAATTCGGAGATCAAATTGATGACGACGGTATTCGCGAGGAAGTCGATACATTTATATTCGAGGTATATTTTTATATTCTTTTTTTTAAAGATCAATATTAATTTATTACACGGAGAAAAATAGTTAGCTATTTCAGCTAATTTTCAGCTACCTTAGCTAACCTTAATTTCTATTGTATGAATACCCACAAAGTACAGAAATTTTCTGCAAGTTTGACATAAAAATTTCGCAAACTTGCTCAGTAGTTTACTATGACATCTAGAGCTGCGCACTATATTTTAGTCACCTTCCCTTAAAGAGAAGGCGCATCGTTCATAAAAATATATTTTGAAAAATTTTGAAAAAATTTTTTTAGGTATTTTGGAAAGTTTGCTGCAAATTTTCCTCAAGTTTTCATTGCAAACTTGCCAAGAGGGTGACATTTTTATATGTATACAAGTTTGCTGCAAACTTGGATGCAAACTTGTGAACTTTGCATGGAAAACCTGCAGCAGACTTGCAGAAAATTTCTGTGCTTTGTGGGTAGCAATTATTGTTAGCTAATGCAGCTAATAATTAGCTAAAATAGCTAACTTTTTTGCTAAAACAGCTAATTATTAGCTGTAATAGCTAAAAATTAGCTATCCATATAATATCAAACTTTAGTTTTATTTAAAAACTTATTTTTTAAATATTTACTTATCATTTAAAAATAATAAATTACAAATAGTGGGAAAGATTATTTTTCTCATGCATTTTCTATTTTCAAAATTTTCTAACTGATTTTAAAGTCTATAATATTATTTTTCGGAAGTATAAGTCTTTGTTTCCATTCTATATAGAATTTTCAGACAAAATTACCTTTCAGATTGTCAGAGGTCAAATTGATTTGTTCAATTAGATAAATAATAAGCATATGATTTAGATGTATAAGAATATTTTAATTTCTAATTTTATTTCAAAGATAAGTTTACTTATAGCGGATATGCAGAAACAAAATAAAAATTGACTTCTAATTGCAACCAGCAACAATTCGCGCGCAAAAGCGCGCGGCTAACTTTTTACTATCTTTTTTAAATAAAATTAGCAATATTAAAAATAGTAGAATTTAAAAATTTTCTAATTTAAATTTTTTTTTGAAAACACTAAAAAATTCAATTTTGGAGAATTTACAAATCATCGCAGAATTTCAATTATTTTTAGTACAATGTTAATGGAATTTCTCTAAAAATGTAATTATTCTTACAATTTTTATTAAAATTCATTTTTAAAACTTTTAATAAAATTCTTTTTAACAATCCAATTTTTTTGAAAATAATTTAAACAAAATTCTTCATAGAACTAAATATCTACTATTTCTATAAAAATTCATAAAAGAGATAAATTATTTAAAGAGAAATATATTATTAAAATTCCTCTGAAGAATTTAATTATTTTTCACAAATATTAAAATTCTTCTGAGAATTTCAATTATTTTGAATACAATAATAACAAATTCGATTGTATTCAATAAATTCAAGAAATTTTCCAAAAAAATCCAATTATTTTCATAAACAATAAAATTCTTCGAAGAAATTCAATTATTATCAAATTTTTTATCAAAATTCTTTGCAAGAATTCAATGATTTGCAAATTTTTTATAAAATTCTTCCTTGGAATTCAACTATTTAACAAAAAAATTAATAAAAGTTCTTTGTAAGAATTCAATTAATTTTGAATATTTTAATAAAATTCGTTGCAAAAATTCAATTATTTAAAAATTTTTTTATAAAATTCTTCGAATTAAATAAATTATTTTTAAAAATTTTGATAAAATTCTTGGCAAAAATTTTCCTCAATTCAAAAATAGTTATATTCTAATAAAATTTTTGAAATGAATTCAATTATAAAAATTTTAATGAAATTCTTGCGCAAACATTAAATTATATTCATAAAAGAATTAAAATTTTACAAGGAATTTAATTATTTTCATCAGACTTCAATTATTATTTTCATAAAAAATAATTTAAAATTCTAGAAAATAATAATTGAATTAAGATGATGAAAATAATTGTGATGAAGTTACAGTAACAATATTCTTATATAATATAAAATAATGATTTTATTACTTTAATTATTATAAATTTCATCTTTAATTATTATAAGTTGTTTAATTTAAAAAAGTTTGAATTTTTGAGTGTCCTAATTCCTGTGAAAAATTCTGTTCCAAAAATAAAGATTAAAAATAGGAATTGTGCAAATATTTTTCTTTTTTTTCTAAAACAAAATAATAATTCTGTTTAAAAAATTGTGATTAAAAAAAATAATGAAAAAAAATAAATTTTCTATTTCTTAATCACAGTTGTTTAATAATTTTGTTTAGAAGTGAAAAAATTCTGATGATTTCTATTTGTCGTTACAATTTTCAATTAATTATAAAACAAAAGTAATTATAACATAATAATATAATATACAAACTATTTAAAGATAACCAAAAACAAAAGTAATAAACAAAAGTATTCGTAATATTTTTATAGTTTTCCTATTTTGCAAAAAAGAAAAATATTTTTAAAAAGTGTAAAATAAACATTGAAAATAAAATGTGTCCATCCATATATTCTAATTTTAGAAACATTTGTCCTTCCCAACCAATTTTTTTGCTTATCGTAACAAATAGTTTGCCCCTCCCTACCCATTAAATGTCACAGAATAAATTGTCGGCCCAATGTAATTTAAAAAAAACATATGAAAAAGAACGAAAATAAAAAATTTAACAAATAATTTTAGAAATAAAAAAATAAATAATAAATAAATATATAAAAAGTATAATTATAAGAAAAATAAAAATATTTTTATTTTTAAACTAAATTTTGAATTTTAAATTATTTTTCACAGGGACATGACACAACATCAATGGGAATGACTTTCGTGCTATTAATGATGGCCGAGCATAAAGAAATTCAGGTTATCCATTTTTTTTAAATATCTAAATTTTTTTTCATCGGATTTGAAATAATTTTCTATACTTTAAAATTCGATTTGTAAAAAAATTAACAAACTGAAATAATTAAAAATATTTACAGGATCGTGTGAGAGAGGAGATTGACATGTTACTTAATGAGACGAATGACAAAATTAGTACAGCTGAAGTACAACAATTGACTTACCTTGAGCAATGTATCAAGGAAACTTTACGTTTATATCCATCAGTTCCCCTAATATCTCGACAACTCAGTACAGACTTGCAACTAAGTTAGTTAGAATTAGTAAAAAAAAATTTTTTTATTATTTTATTTTATTAAAATGATTTTTTATTTTTTTTCATACTCAGTTTTTCTAATAATATCAATGAATCAAATAACGTATCAAAACGTTAATTAATTTTATTTTATTATTAATATTTATATTTTATTATTATTATTTATAATTATTTATTATTATTATTTCATTAATCGCAACAATCTTGATAATTTTCTTTTGTCACTATTTTCACTAAGAAATAGTTTATTTAAATAAAAATCTTTTCCAATTTCTAGAGAACCATTTGATTCCAGCCGGTTGTAGTACGGACCTACACATTTTTGATTTACACAGAGATCCAAATTTTTGGCCAGATCCGGAAAAATTCGATCCGGAAAGATTTTCACCTGAAAGAAGTCAAAAACGTCATCCATATTCATTTATTCCGTTCAGTGCTGGTCCACGCAATTGTATAGGTAAAATATAAACAATAAAAAAATTACTCTCGACATTTATCTACAAATTTAATAAATAAATAAGTTAACAAAAAATATATTAACCATAATTTTTTAGGTCAAAATTTCAAAAAATTTTAAAGATCTTTTTCATTATAAGATACTATAAATCTTTTGAATCTAACTTATTTTAGTTAAAATTTTTTTTAAAATTATAATAAATTTATTAAGGGGTAACACTACTCTAGAGCCAGAAAAAGAGACCTATGTCTTTGATGATTTGTTTAGAGAAAATCACAAAAAGAATAGGATTTCTTTTTGGAGGGTTTACTAAATACATATTAAAGTGTAGAAAAAAATTGTTATTTAAAATTTTGTAACAAAATGTCGGCGATAAATTTCACAGTAAAAATCGACTACTTTTTTACGGCTGGAAAGGTTTCTTGAAAAGTTTAAGTCCTGGAACAGAAAACAAAGAAATTTTATAATCTATATAATACAAACTTGAAAAGTACATAGGAGTGTTTGATTGGATAGAAACTTTACTTTTTATGAACAATTTACTTTTTATTTTTTAACGAAAAATGAATTATTTTACTAAAAAGAAGAGAACTATTTTTACAAAAATTGATATAAAAAACACTCCTATGTACTTCTCAAATTTATATTATATAGATTATAAAATTTCTTTGTTTTCTGTTCCAGGACTTAAACTTTTCAAGAAACCTTTCAAACCATTTTGTTAAAGAAAAAAAAGGCGATTTTTACTATCCCGTGTGGAAATTTTCTAATGGCCCGTTATTGGTTCCACCTAGATTTCCCCTTTATTAACTTGGTCCTAGCTTGTTTATCCTTGTAGGCCCTAGGTTGAAACGTCACGCTCTTCTAGCCTGGTTCTACCTAGAAAATCTAGTTAGGCCCAATAAAAGGAAAAGTTTATTAACTATTTAAAAAAAAATTATTTATTATTATTGAGATTCATTATTTTATCTTTTTTTACCTACTTTTGTTCTCATGTAATTTATAATACTTAATTCCTATATACTAACAGAGAAAAAATCCCCACACGTTGGGAGTTGAACGCACGACCCTAACATTCGTAAACCGATAACCTAACCACTTAACCACGCTCGCTCGGTACGATGCGTTGCATGATACTTCAGGTTATTCTTGTCATCATAAGTCATATTAACTATTCCGTTATAAATGCCTCAAAATAATAAAACTGAAGTCAGTAATATTTTCGTTGACGCAAAATGAGAAAAGAATTTTTTTAAAGATCAAGATGCAAATAATTTCTGATAAAAAGAACTTAATTGTTCTTTTCATTACATCCTACATAGATTTTTAATCCAATCGGGAAGGGAAAGTCAATAATTGTTATTTAAAAATTGAAGTTTTTATCTCATTTTGTTGACGTAAACGTTGGAAACTTCAGTTTCATTCAACAAAATATGATTTTAACAGAAGTTAACAAATCCGTGAACGGTTTTAAAAATTTAACTTGAAAAATATATTGTAACGAAAATTTTAATTGAGTTAATTAACTGCAGCTTAAATCTCAAAGCTCATGAAACTTTAAATAAATATTTAATGTCAGCAGTTTTTTAATGTTCGGCGCAAAAGTTAACTAAACATTGCATAAAGTAACAATTTTTTTAATTTAAATGAATTTTTTCTCTAAAGGAGGAAGTTTAAAGGAAATTTTAAGAATAGTTTTGGAAAACTTAAAAAATTAAAGAAAATTGTAAACATTCATGCAATGTTTAGTCAACTTATGCGCCCAACATTGAAAAGCTACAGACATTTAAAGATTTATTTCAACCAACATAACCTTTAAATTCAACTTGTAAATTAGTAAATTTGACTATGTAATATTTTTATACAACAGTTTAAATCAGTAACTTATATTTTACTAATCGAATCAGTAACTTTCTACTAATTATTAGTAACTTAATTCTGTTAATAGCAATTAGTAGAATTCTACTGATAATCTGTCAAATTTTACAAATGCAAAGTTAAAAGTAAACATTTCAGTTCAATATTGTCTCAATTGTGCTATGTGCTGTTTAAATGTTACTTCAAATTACACATAAACAATTACTGATACATATTTTTAAATAAATTGTTAAACATATTTTATAACTTATAATCTAACAAGAAGTTCTAGCTATTACCAAGCTAGGGCCAGGTTAAGGTACATTCCCAGCTAGGACCATTATAGACCCAATAATCAATATTGGCAAACCTTGGCGATTTCCACACGGGATGTAATTTATCGCCGCCATTTTGTTCTAAAATTTTTAATAAAAATTTTTTTGTTCTCTTAAATATGTATTTAATAAACCCTCGAAAAAAAATCCTATTCTAGTTTCTATGTTTGAAAATAAATCATCAAAGATATAGATCTCTTTTCCTGACTCTAGAGTAATGTTACCCCTTAACTATTGTGATTTGAAATTAAACCTGATTTTTTAAGTCAAAAGTTCAAAAAATTTTACAGATATTTACTAAGCTTATAAATATGTTGAAACCAATTTTTTAAATATAATTTTTAATATACATTTTAGTTATAATTTTCGAAATAATTAATAAATTAACGTAGTTCAAATTATTAAACCTGATTTTTAGGTCAAAATTAAACCTAATTTTTTAGAGGTTAAAATAAAAAATTAAAGAAATAGAACAAAATAGAAAGGAAACAATATTCGTTTTAGATCAAAAATACAGAATAAAGTAAAAAAAAAGTATTATTTAGGTCAAAAATTCAAAATATAGTAAAAATAAATTTTTTTAGGTCAAAAATTCGCAATGCTGGAACTGAAGACATTTACAGCGCACATTCTAAATAATTTCATCCTTGAACCTGTTGATCACGCAAAAGATTTAATTTTTACATCTGATTTAGTATTAAGACCGGCTATTCCAGTGCGTATAAAATTTACAACTAGAATAAAATAAAAATTTTTCATTGCTATTAATTTTTATAAACAAAAATATACATATAACACAGCAACTATTTTTATTTTAATAAGCAATACTACTGACAATTTTTTTTCACGCCTTTACATTTACATATACATAGAAATTATATAATATTTTGATAATGTAACATATGTAGTTACTTAAGAATTTTTGAAAATAAAAAGAATGATTGCAAACATAATAGTAGTGATATTTTTTTGAAATTTTCCTGTTTTTTTAATTCTTCTTTTTGATAAAAATTGAATTTTCAAAGTACATCAACTTAGCGGAACAACTTTTTATAATCAACGATTAAAAAAAGAATATTTTTCTTGGCAGAAACAATAAAATATTTTATTTAGAATTTAGAAATTTGTCTTTTGTAAATTATTGATATTTTAGAAAAGTAAAATAATGAATGAATGTTCGAATGAATTTCAAGAAAAAAAAATAAAATTCTTTGTTTAAAAATATTTTCAAAAAGTAAAATAATAAACATTCGTGTTTGCAAGTATTTTCAAGAAAAAAAATAATAAAACCTTATTTGAAAATATTTCTAAGAAGAAACATAATAAAATTCTTTGTTTATAAATATTTTCAAAAAGAAAAATAATAAAATTTTTTGTTTATAAATATTTTAAAAAGAAAAATAATAAATGAATATTTTCAAGATGAAAAATAATAAAAGTTTATTTCAAAGTATTTCCAAGAAGAAAAATAATTTAAAAAAATTTGTTTAAAAACATTTTAAAAAATAAAAATAATAAACATGTTTATTCAAAAGCATTTTCAAAAAGAAAAATAATAAAAAAATTTGTTTCAAAATAGTTTCAAGAAAAAAACCAATGAAATTCTTTGTTTAAAAATATTTAAAAAATGAAAAACAATAAAATTCTTTGTTGTTGTAGTTGAACTGTCACTATTAATTGTTTAATTATTTAAGAGGCCTTGTACGGCTTATTAAATAATAAAACTCTGTGCTTAAAAATAATTTAAAAAAGAAAAATAATAAAAAATTTTATTCAGAAGTATTTTCAAAAAGAAAAATAATAAAAATTCTTGTTTAAAAATATTTTCAAGAAGAAAAACCATAAACTTCTTTGTTTAAAAATGTTTTTTAAAAAGAAAAGGTTTTATCAAAATTTGCCTTAAAAATAATATTTCTACTAAAATCGTTGAATTTAGAAATAGAAATTCGTTCCATAAGTTAAAAATAATCGACAATCGTCGAAAACGTAACCTTTTAAAAGGACATAATTAAAAATATTGTCGAAATTACAATTGTTGGAAGAGTGAAATTAATAATAACGACGAATTGAGATTGTTCTAGAATTTATTCACTGTAGCTTAAAATTAACTACTATATATTATTTATGTAATTTTTAATTAATAATAATTATTATTAATATTCATTATTTTTAATTAAAACAAAATGGTTATGGAAATGAATATTTTTAGGTTACTTTGTGTGTTCTTTACAAATGTTTACAAAATATACAAATTTTTATTTTAAAAAAGAGAATATAATTAATAATTAATTAATTATTATTATTCGAATTATAATAATTAGAATAATTTTTATTAAAAAAGAGAGAATATTATTCTAAATTGGAAGAAATTTAAAAACCTTTTGTTGAAAGAATTTTTAATCAGTTTTTCTTTCTTCAGAAATTATTTTCCAGATAATTAATATTTTTTTATCAAAAATAATTTTTACGACAATTTTCTATAGAAAAATCAGAAATTAGCAATTTTTTTAAGTTACAAAATAGTGCCTTAAATTTCTTTTTAACTACCAAGGTCAATGAAAAAAGTAAAATTAGTAACACTTTCATCACTAAAAAAAGAAAATATTTTTTGACGCTAGGTGTCGACACTAACTTCAGGGAGGTAATATAAAAGTTAAAGTACTCAATAATAAATAACAAGGCTTTAAGCCCTATTAATTAATTAATTTAAGCCCTATTTTTTTAAAGAGGCATATTTATTCAGATATGATTATTTTCATTATTTAACGTTTTACTAACTAATGATTCACTAACTCAGAGTCCCTCTACAACTTTTTTCTAATCCATATAATTTTTTTAGGATTTATTAACGGTTTACAGTAAAACATTGCACTTTTATGGCAATATTTGGCAGTTGGCATAAATGTTTCCGATGCACTGTAACTAATCAGTGAATCTCCGGATATTTTTAAAAATGAAAATATTAATTACGTAGTATTAATAATTCTTACAAAAAAATTAGGAAGTTCATCAAATTGCTTAGAAATAATATGTAAGAGAAATCCAAGCGGGGATTCTTTCCAACACAAATGAACACAACACAAACTCAACGGTGATGAGTATATTTGTTGCACTGAATTTTCACAGACAAAGCCGAATAAACACTATCAAATGACACTTTATCAGTTAAGCGTAAAAAATGAAATTAAAGTAAATGATAAAATTGAAATAAAATTAACTGGCTTCAAAATAATCTGCAAAGAGAAAGAATTTTGCGTACATAAAATAATTCTTGTGTGTGAATCCGATGTTTTTCAAGCAATATGTTTGAAAATCCAATGAAACAGTCTCGAAAAGATACTCTTACAATAAGTGAATTTGAACCAAACATTGTATTATTGTATATTATTTATTGATATGAAAGATTTGGTAATTGAATTTATTAAAGAAAATAAAAATACTTCCATGTAAAAAAATCCTTCGTTCAATGTGAATGCTAACTGAATTTTACGTTAAAAACTAAAACTATATCTGTTCTAATTTATTGTTTAAAAGTATTTTTCTTTCCGTTGAACCGAAAAATTGTCTTGTAAAAATTTTTATTGTACGATATAATAGAAGATTGCTGTTTATTTATAAAATCCCTGCAGTTAAATTATTTTTAACTACTATATTTATGATTATCAATTTAGCAAAAAAATTGATCAATAAAATGCTATGGCTATTTTTTAATCATACGTTATTATTATTTTTTTTAATTATATTTTTAGTTGTCCTAGAATTTATTTAATCGCTGAGAAACTGCTGGTACTTTTATATACGTAAGATTTTAATTAATAGTAATGTTATTGTGAAAAAGAGGTTTTTATTGCAAAAAAAGTTTATTGAAAATATTTCATTATTACTATTATTACTTATTGTTATTAAAAAATGCAATTAATGAAATTAATTATTATTATTTTCACACATATTTTTATACCTAAATTGTTAGTCGGAATTGATCGATTGATAGATGGAATTTTATAAAATCAAAATTCTACCACGCTAAAATTTTTCGATTTCAGCACCCTCTGAACCGTCAGAATAAGAATTATTCTTAGAAACCTTTAACTCAACTCGAAGCTTATATCATCGCGACGTGCATGAAGACAAGACAATTTTTGTGACTTCAATTTCATTTTTGTGACTCTTTGTGGATTATTGACGTGAGTTTTCTATTTATAATAATTTTTAAAGAAAATTCTGATACTCTAAAAATGATTAGATACTCAAAAAATGTTCTATTACATTTATTTACCAATTTCTGGAATTATTTGAAAACATCAATAACTTCTTTTCTAAATAAATTTTAATCATTATTATTTTCTCACAAGAATAAATTATTTTTAATAATTTTTGAAAAAAGTTCTTTGAGAATTTTAAAATCCATTTGTTTAGAAATCAATTTTACGAAATTTAAATTATTCAGAAATTCTTTAATTAAATACGAATTAAAAAATAAACACTTCAAATAATTTCAGGATAAAATTCAATTAAACTTTTTTAAAATAATTAATTTTACAGAATTGTTAGTTATAAGTATGAAAAATACAAATTTTTAAAGAATTATTGATTTAAAACCATTTTAAAATTTAATTATTTTATAAAATTCATGCTATAATGCTTTTAATAATCAATTATTATGTAAAACTTTAACTAAAATTCATTTTGAAATAAATTTTTTATAAAAAATTTTTATAAAAAATTTTAAATACAAATTTCATAAAATTCAATTATTTTTTAAATTTTTAAATAAAAAAATATTCCAAAATAATTCATAAAAATTAATTTCTTGTCGACAGTTTTTCAATAATTAAATTATTTCAAAAAATCAATTTTAAATCTGTAAAGTCTAATTATATTGTTGAAAACAGGAAAAGTTTGAAATAAATAAAATCTTTTCAACGCTGAAGAATAACATTCAGAATTTTCTTATGAATCCTTGAAATTGAATATTATTCCAGCACTTTTGACAAAATTCTCTGACTTTTTGAGACGCATGCTTATTCCCGAAATCTTTTTTGACCAAATAGTTATTTGATATATAACTACTTAAATTAAAATTCACATAATATGAACATTATTTGCTATAAATTTCATTGCACACAAAATCCATTTAACATAAATATCATTTGTCATAGAATTTATTTAACAGAAATATTATGTTACATAAAACTCAGATAACTTAATTCCCACTTGACTTAAAAATAATGTAACATAAATTTCTATTGACATAAAAATCATTTAACATAAGTTTCCTTTGACATAAAATTCATTTAACGTAAATTTTATTTGTTATTAAATTCATTTGACATAAAATTCTTTTGACATCAATTTCATTTGGCAAAAATGTCATTCAACGTAATTCTCATTTGACACAAAATCCATTTGACATAAATATCATTAGACATAAAATTAGCTTGACATAAATTTCATTTGACGTGAATATCATTTAACATAATTATTATTTAACATAAAATTAAACTTATATAAATTTCATTTGTCATAAATGCCATTTAACATAATTCTCATTGGACATAAAATTTACTTGACATAAATTTCATTTAGCATAAATCCCATTTAACATAATTCTCATTTGACATATAGTTCACTTGATATAAATTTCATTTGACGGATAAGTCATTACACATAATTCTCATTTGACATAAAATTCAGTTGTCATAGATTTCATTTTACATAAAGATCATTTGACATGAAAATATAGGCACGAATTTCAAAATTGGCGAATCACAATGTTGTTGATAATATCTAATTGATTACTTTTAAAATTCGCGTTGATATTTTTAAGTAAAATGTAATTTGCGTAAAATGATTTTTATGTCAAATGAGAATTTTGTTGAATAACTTTTATGTCAAATCTAATTTATGTCAAATGACTTTTATGACAAATGAGAATTATGTTAAATGTCTTTTATGTCAAATGAACTTTATGAAAATGAAATTTAAGTTAAATGAAAATTATATTAAATGACATTTAGTGTAGAAATTTGTCACGTATCTGTACCGTAATGATATAGTTTCACTAGTTGCTATCTAGTTGCGATACCGTGAAATGTTGTAGTAACTATCTTGAAATGTAACACTTCGGACATCAAGTTTCTAGATAGTTTTACTATATCAGAACAATATAGTGAAATATTATAAAGCTATAACACGGACTCTAGTATAAATTTCATTTTTAGAAACTTGTTTAATACTTCTATATTGATTTACGGTAAATGTATTTGTAAAAATTAATAATAATAATAATTAATAACATATGTACAATATAATTAAATAACAATATTAACAAAGTTTATAATTATAATATATAAACTATTATTAATTTTTAACAATATTAAAGATTTTAAAAGGTGCAACAATTTCATTGAATTTAAAAAAAATTTCGATTATTCGCTTTCTTCTTTTATACCATATTTTATTTTTAACAAGTCCAGTTATTTATTTGTTATTATTTTAAATTCTAATTAAGAATTTCAACCTATACTACACTTCACATTATTAACATAAATCACTTAAATTAAGAAGGAAAAATATCGCACGCACGGGGGTTCGAACCCTAGACCTTTGGGACGCAATACGAATACACATACCACACAGCCACGCTGACTTGGAAGATGTGTTGCTTAAAATACCTTTTCAGTTTCGAGACTGCAATTTTTCCTTTATTTATAATAAATTGTTTGTAAATGGTATATTTAAATCTATATACTTACACTACCGGTCAAAATTGAGAGACCACCCATTTTCAGGCGAATGAAAAACGTTTTAAAACATAAAATTTATTGAAACTAAAATTTTTTTTTTTTATTTTTTGAAAGATGATAAAATTTTGAAAAGAACAAGATTTTTTAGAAGTGAGTTGGCCAATATTTTATTTAGATATTTTTCAAAAATCGTCATTTTCAATGTTTTACAAAAATTTGAATAACTTCTAAAATAATGAACGCTTTTTAATGATCTTATGCTTATTTTAAAGGTCGTTTGCTACACTACAAGAATTACATATATGCATTAACGTGTAATTTTTTTCTTAGAAAATGCAGGCCATTAAACTTGCACCAAAAAAATTCAAAAAATTTGAAACATTCTTACACTGAAAAAAAAATTTATTTGATTCAAATAATTCAAATTATTTGAAAAATATTTAATTGATTTAAATACTTTTTAGTTGGATCAAAAAAATATGTATTTGATTTAAATATCTGCAATTATTTGAATCATACTTATTTGAACCAAATAAATCGTACTTGATTCAAATAAATAGTTAATTGAATTGAATAAATAAATTTATTTAATACAAATATTGAATTATTTGAAACTATTCTTTCATTTATTTCACTCAAATACTTCGTTTATTTGATGCAAATAAAAATTATTTGACACAATAAATTTATTTTATTGATTCAAATAAGCGGAATTATTTGCTCCGAATAATTTATTATTCAAAGCTAATATAATATTTTATCAAGACAAATAAAAAAATATTTCAATCAATTAAATAATTATTTGAGACGAAAAAAATGAATTATTTGAAACTGCTCTTTCATTTATTGCACTGAAATACTTCATTTATTTGATGCAAGTAAGAATTATTTGATTCAGTAAATTTATTTTATTGATTCTAATTGACTGAAATATTTAATCCGAATAATTCATTATTTAAAGCTAATATACATTTTATCAAGACAAATAAAAAAATATTTCAATCAATTAAATAATTATTTGAAACGAAAATAATGAGTTACTTGAAACTATTCATTCATTTATTTAACCCAAATATTTCGTTTATTTGATGCAAATAAAAATTATTTGACACAATAAATTTATTTTATTTATAATTATTACAAATAAATTTATATTATTACTATATAAATTTATTATTATTGACATAATAATTAATATTATGAAAAAATATATAAATAAAAATATTACAATAAGTTGATTTTTTAAAGAAATATTGAAATATATTCGTAAATATATACATTGAATAAAGTATTGAAAATATAGCGGCAAAATTGTTCACTGCCTTGTAGTAATTCTACAAGTTTTATTTCAGCTAGTGAGACTTGAGAGTGTTTAAGATTTGAGAGTCCGATGCGAGCGTAGTATAGTGGTTAGCGTGCGTGACTTCGGTGCGTGAATATTCGGTTAGGCGTGGGTTCGTACCCCCAAGCGTTAGGATTTTTCAAATGTGTATGTAATAAAAATTGCGTTTAAGTGTATAAAAAAATGTGAAAGTGAACTATCAATGAATTGTCATCAGTATTTATCTTTTGCAATTAGTTATTTTTTTATTAATATTTGTTGATGTTGAAATTATCAATATTGAATGAAATAATTTTCATACTTGATTCAAATAATTATTTATTACATTAAAATATTCGATTTATTTGATTTAAATAAATAGTTATTTGATACAATTAAATAAAATATTCGGGTCAAATAAATATACATTTGAGTTGAATATATTTTGAATTTGATTCAAATAATCATTTATTAGATTCAAATATTCTATTTATTTGATTTGAATTAGTTGTATTTGATTCAAATAAATAGTTATTTGATACAATTAAATAAAATATTCGGGTCAAATAAATATATATTTGAGTTGAATAATTTTTGAATTTGATTCAAATAATTATTTATTAGATTCAAATATTCTATTTATTTGATTTGAATTGTTTGTATTTGATTCAAATAAATAATTATTTGGTGCGATAATATAAAATATTTAGTTCAAATATTTATGTATTTGGTTCAAATACACATTTATTGGAATATAACCAAATAAATGATTTATTTGAATCAAATAATTTTTATTTGATTCAAATAATTTTTTTTTTCAGTGTACTAATTTTGCAACAATTTACTGTTCATTGCCGCACAACTTTCTATAAATTTCCATAAATTACCAAATTCAAAATTTTTAATAATAATTTAAACTTTACATATTTTTATGAATTATCGCGAAAATTTCCATAAATTTCCATAAATTACCAAAATACTAATTTTTTAATGAGATTTACGCTATAATATTGTTTAAATTACCGCAAAATTTTTTTTGACAGAACCTGTCCAAACAGTGAATTTGTTCATTACTATACTTGTTTACAAACAAAAATTATAAACAATTTTTCCGGCC